TGGAACAAGTGTTCAGTTGTGATGAAACAGGCCTATTTTGGAAGAAAATGCCAAAGAGGACCTACATTATGCAGGAGGAAAAGGCCCTGCCTGGACACAAGCCTATGAAAGACAGGCTTACTCTTTTGTTCTGTGCTAATGCTACTGGGGATTTCAAAGTGAAGCCTTTACTGGTGTATCACTCTGAAAATCCCAGAGTGTTCAAGAAACACAATGTTTTCAAGAGTAAATTGTGTGTGATGTGGAGGGCTAACAATAATGCATGGGTCACAAAGCAAATTTTCAAAGAGTGGATGAATGATGTGTTTGGCCCGAGTGTGAAAAAATAGAACATAATTTGCCACTCAAGTGCCTCCTGGTACTGGACAATGCTCCTGCTCATCCTCCAAACTTGGTAGACCTATTGTCTGTGGAATTCCGTTTCATCAAGCGAAGCTCTTACCTCCTAACACCACTCCTCTCATCCAGCCCATGGACCAGCAGGTCATTTCTGACTTCAAAAAACTGTACACCAAAGCAGTGTTTCAAAGGTGCTTTGAAGTGACCTCGGACACAGATTTGACCCTAAGAGAGTTCTGGAGGAATCATTTCAATATCCTCCATTGCATAAGCCTTATAGGTAAGGCTAGGGAGGAAGTGACTTCCAGGACTTTGAACTCTGCTTTGAGAAAATTGTGCCCAAAATGTGTCCAGTTGAGGGATTCTGAAGGGTTTGGGGCTTACCCTGAGGACCCTATGCCTGTTGTGGATGAGGATGTGGAAGAGATGGTGGAGGACCACAGGGAAGAGTTAACCACAGAACACCTGCAAGAGCTTCATCTGGAACAGCAACAGACGACAGCTCAGGAACTTGCTTCAGTGGAGGAGAAAGAGGGAGTGAAGGAGGTGCCTTCTTCAGAGATTAAGGAGATTTGTGCAATGTGGACTAGGGTGAAAGCTTTTGCTGAGAAATAATCACCCTGATCAAGCTGAAACAAGCTACATCTGCAACAAGTTCAGTAGCAGAACCTTGTCCCACTTCAGGGAAATCTTAGAGACACCAGAAACAGAGCTCTCTGGACAAATATTTTCTGTGACAGGGGTCCAGTGACTCAAGCTGGTCCTAGTGGCATTAACCCTTAAATGATCCAAACGTATATATACGTTTTTTCAACATTTGAAAGTATGTAAAAAAATGTAGATCATCTTTTTTTTTTTCATTTGAAAATGTGTAAAAAAAACTTTTATCTACATTTGTTTTTTTTGTTATGTTCGAAAATATGTAAAAAAAACGTAATAAACGTTTGGAGCACTACGGATTTGAACGTTGATCTGTTTGGACCGTTTAACCCTTTGACTGTCGAGAGGCCCAATCCTGAAGTGTCTCCTGGTGTCGCAAAATATTCGAGAAAAAAAAATTATTTTTTCTTATGAAAATGTTAAGATTATTTTTCTGATTGTTTTAGTCCCCAAAAAAAAATTTTCCCATCAGTACTTACCGAGATATAGAGTCCTGAAGTTTGCTGAAATTGATCTGCGAGCGGCAACAGCGGTGACTGCCACTCGCCCGGTAAACTTTGATTTACTTGTATTCGATGGTTTCTTGTTTTTTTTCACTATTTTATTTTTTCACATAACTTTTGTGGCCTGTGAGACCAAATTATTGTGCAATGTTCAAATATACACTCGTTGAATGTAACACAATTATAGCAAAAGCACTCGTATCATTATAATGTTGCTAAAACTTGTTTACACAAACAAACAATGTAAACAAATGTTTATTACGATTGTTTTATAATATATATACATATGTACAATCACTGGACACTTTTCTAGAAGTGCTGCAGCTTGGTGTCTTACACTCCTCACACATAAAACGAGTGTCTCTGCATTTTTGTGGGTGTTTTGTGGTATGTCCACAGACAAAACACCTCTTCTGAGCATTTTTCTTGGCAGTAGTAGCAGGCAGTGGTATGGGGTAGTGATCACCAGGCCTCAGACGAGAGGATATGTGTTGATAATTTCGTGGGCGCTGGTCTATTGCAGGTGTTGTTTCTTGGTACTTGAATATTATTTGCCTGATGACTGACAAACAAAATTCACCATATTTGGGTTTCTTCTTGGTCTTCAACTTATACATATTATAAGCATTCAGCATAGAAATGTCAAGAAGATGGAAAAACAGTTTTATGTACCACTTATAACTCTTGCAAACACAGTCAGCAAACCCAATCTGCATGTCACATTTGTCCACTAAGCGCATATTGAGGTTGTAATCCATCACAGCTGCAGGTTTTACAATAGGTTCTTTGGTCTCTCTATTCTGCTTGCCAGTGTCTACCATTTCGTGTCGGTGAACTGATGTCAGCAGTGTGACATCATGTTTGTCATGCCACCGAAATGCCATGATGTCATTGGCAGCAAACACCTGCACTTCACCTCTACGACTGCCAGCATCGAACCTAGGCATATGTTTACGATTTCCACACACTGTGCCACACACATCTGTCATGTTCACTTGCAAGAAATCACTGAGTATAGGGCTTGTGTACCAGTTGTCAGTATGTAAAATATGCCCCTTACCAAGATAGGGCTCCATCATTGTTCTAACCACATCACCAGAGATACCCAGTAACTTTCTGGTATCTTCCATTCTTTTACCGCCAGTGTACACAATTATATCCAAAACCAGACCAGTTTTGCAATCACACAGAACAAATAACTTTATACCAAAGCGTTTCCTCTTGCTTGGTATATACTGCTTGAATGAGAGTCTTCCTTTGAACAAAATCAAAGACTCGTCAATAACAAGCTTCCTGAAGGGATAAAAATACATACAGCACTTTTGTTTCAGGTACATAAACACACGTCTGATCTTATATAACCTGTCGCTTCTGTCAGGCCTGGTTTTGTCTGAAAAGTGTAACATACGTAACAGTAACACAAATCTATTCACTGGTATAATGTCACTGAAAGCAGGGGTTGAAATCAAGTGGTCTGTCGCCCAGTATGTGTTGACACTATGCTTATACACATGTGGCATAAGCATTATTGTGGCAAAGAAAAAGATACATCTCTGCCACAGTTGTGTCCTTCCACTGGTGTAGGCGTGATCTTGGTGACAGAATAGTGTTTGCCATGGTGTACTCATAGTATGTATTGCTTTCCCTGACAATAATGTCCATCAGGGGTTCATCGAAGAACAACTGAAAGCATTCCAGTTCAGTGGGATTGTTCCCAAGTGTACATGATGGCCGTATTCCACTTTGTCCTCCATCAAAGTCATGGGGATTGGGAACAAACTCGTCATCTTGCTGCCAATCCCAGATGCGGTCAGCTGGTGCGTTCTGGATATTGTAATGTGGTAGTGGTTGTGCAGGTTGTGGTTGTGGTTGTGGGAGTGTGGGGTCGGGTGAGGCTGGTTGTAGTTGTGCAGAGTCAGCAGCGCGGGTAGTAGCGTGGCCTGCTGCTGGTGTCACATGACACATGCCACATTCATTATCACCACCACTGCCTGCTGCCTCACTTGCATCATTGATACCCATCGTAACAATATCGTCATCTTCACTATCAGGAAGTGGTGTAGGGCTACGGGATGTGCTCCGAGATGTACTCCTTCCTCTTGGAAGAGCATATGGCACACTACCAGACCGCATGCGACGTCGTATATACTGCCGCTTCACTGTGGAATATTCACCCTCACTGTCACAACTAGAACTGCTTTCAATAACCTTGAAATTACTATCACTATCACTTGCACTGCTCACATCTGAGTCTTGTACACGGGCAAATAGTTTCCTCTTTCATCCTGGTACAGGTGAACATGAACGAGCCGGCCCAGCACCAGAGGTGGAAGGTTGTGGGTCATCTGGGTTTTCATCACTAATTATGTTATCCTGGGTAATTTTTTCGGTCACACCCGCTTCAAAACCTGGGAATTCACTTTCACTGACACTATCATCACTGTTTGAGCTATCACTTGGGAACAAAAGACCTCCAGTCCGCCGAGGAGTGAGGAACTTCTTACCGCGAGGCATAGTGAAAATGGACTACCAAGATGGCATTCCCACAATGCACCGCTGAGTCCCAGATTTTTTTCACAGGGTGCACACCGACCACTGAGACCCATTCTCTCTCATGTAGGCCTACCAGCCCTCTCCCGCTTGATTTGAAGCCGCTAGAATTTATGCGTATAGATACGTCAAACACGGTATCTCCCATGACGTATATATACGACCGCGACAGTCAAAGGGTTAAGGGTTAAAAAACAAAGAAGGGAATAATTATTTTGGTTATCAGCCATTTCGGTTTTAGGCCGGACTTCTGGAACAGATTATGGTCGATAACCAAGGGTCCACTGTATAAATAATATCAGCGCATTTGTGAAAGCATATTAGATCTACCATTTGATGTGTATTGGACACGTGGCATGATTTGTTTACTCCTGAACGTCAGAAATCGAACATTTCTGCTACTTTGAGCTCACTTTCAAGCTACTTGTAGTCTGTAAATCATTCAAAATCATCTCTATTTTTTTTATATAAATGAGAATACAACCATAAATACCATATAAAAATACCCTGCAAATTCGCTGTTTTAAACCAAAAACACCATTGTTTTTTGTTTCTCATGCACTGCGTGCTGCAGGATTTTTTTATATTGTGCACAATGACCATTCAGACCCATTCTCTCATATGTAGGCCTACCAGCTTTCTCCCGCAAGATTGGAAGCTGCTAGAATTTTGGCGTAGTATTACGGCTTCAAAGCTGTAATACTATTATGAGATAGACAGTGAAAGGGTTAAGACTCAGTCTGTACTGCCTAGTCCTCTCAGACCTATTGTCCCAAATTTGGAGGTAGGAAAAATAAAACATCGATCTATGTTTGGAGCACTAGCAGTAAGAATGTAGATCAAGATTTAGACAGTTAAGGGGTTAATGAGAGCTTATTATTTTTCTGCATAAAGTTTGTATTATCATTACTTTTGGTGTTGTTATATGTTAATTCTTTTGTTTAACAGGGATGGGCAATTGGTAATACACCAGAATTGGCAAATGCTCACAACTCGCATGCAGCTCCCCAGGCTCGTCGACGACCAGACAAAACTCCAGGAGTACCCACAAGCAGTCGGATGTCCAATGCAGAAACATTTCATTTTGTTTCTTATGTTCCTGTTAGTGGCCGGCTCTTTGAATTAGATGGACTCAAGCCTTATCCAATTGATCATGGTAAAAATATGTGATATAAGTATAAATATTAGGTAGTAGGTTAGTAGACAGCAGCCATCCAGGAAGGTACTACTGTCCTGCCAAGTGAGTGTAAAACAGAAATCTGTAATTGTTGTACATGATGGTAGGATTGCTGAAGTCTTTTTTTCTGTATCATAAACATGCAGTGTTTCAGGTACATCTTGCTATTTCTACTTAAACTTAAGTCACACTGCTCATACACAGACAATCGTATATATACACACGCCCCACTGGGTTTTTATCTATTTCCTTACTAGTTCTTGTTTTTTTTCCTCTTATCTCCATGGGGAAGCGAAATAGAATTTTTCCTCTGTAAGTCATGCGTGTCATACGAGGCAACTAAAATGCCGGGAGCAAGGGACTAGTAACCCCCTTCTATATAAATTACTAAATTTAAAAAAGAGAAACTTTGATTTCTCTTCGTAGTTCACCTTGCCTCAGTGGGATATGGCCAGTTTGTTGAAAAAAAAAAAAAGTATAAATATACCTATATTCAGTGTAAGTAACTTGTTCAGCATCATACTCTAAGATGGTGTACATAGGCAGCTAGCCAGTGAGATGTGAAAAGCATTAGGTTGGTTAAGTTTGAGTATTAGTACAATAATGGCATTGAACCTTGACAAAGGCAGCAGATTCACAGTAATTTGTGTTGTATACTTCCAACAGTGAGTCACCAGAAACATGCCTCAGCAATCCACTGATATACAGGAGGGCCCCACTTATATGATGGGTTATGTTCCAGGATGCCACCATAAACTAGATTGCCCTTTTTTTCACTTGTAAATGCATATGAATGCCTGAAAACATGTTTACACTATCATATATTAAGTTAGCAATGGAACTAGGCATAAAAAACGATACAGTACACTCATTACTTACTTTAAAATATTTGTAGCCCTAATGTAGGGTGAGAGGTGAGTAGTATTTATTGTTGGAAGTCAGGTGTGGTGGCCTGCCTAGCTGCCACACCTCACAATTATATTTATTTGTTTTACTATGATTGTATATGTTTTTTATATGATATGTAGCGTATTTCTAATATAATTTTGAAAAATTTAAAGTTCCCCAGAGCAATTATTATTATGCTTATTGCCATTAACATATAGTAGACCGTTATTTAACGTGGTAGTTACATTCCTGAAAATGCCGTGTTAGACAAACTGAAGAACTTAAGGGAAAAATAGGGTTAGGTTCCTGGTAGCCTCCAAAAAGCCAAACAATTGCTTAAGACTACAAATGCAATAGAGATAATAGTATTTCTTACCTTAAATTGTGGATAATGGTGTTTGTGGATAATTGTGAAGAGAGTGGATATGGATGGTGTGACCCTTCTGGGCTGAGGTGAATGGCTGTTGGTTGTCGGCAGAAGTGGATGGTAGAGGTTCTGGTACTGAAGTCGATAGTTGTATTGGAGTGTACATAAATTCTGTGATGGATCTCTGGGCTCTTTTACCCTGCAGTACATTATACAGCTGATGGTAAGGCATCATCAGCTGGTCTAGGCCCCATTTCAAAGCACTGCTTCTTAATTTGTTACAGTCCTCTTCAGTGAAAAAGTCTGCTAGTTTAGCAGCAATATGGAACTGCTCACATAACTGCTGCAATGTTAATTGTTTTTCTTAGGTTTTTCTTCATCTTCTTCTGTTATCTCCCTCCCTTGTATCTGTGCATTAAGCTCTGCCAACATTTCCTCTGGACTCCTGTCTTCATCATCGTCATCATCATCTTCTAAGAGCTCATTCACATCTTCATTAAATATCTTCAAATCCATCACCTGGTAATCTCCTTGCCAGCTGAACAATTTCCTGAACCTGACTCTAAAGCAAGGGAAATCAGTGAAAGAATTAACTATAGAAAGCCATAACTTTCCCCAGCCTGCATTTAATGTTGATTGGGGCACTTCATTCCATGCAATTCTAGCATAGCTGATGGCATCTGCAATGTTAAATTTATTCCAGAAGCTTGGTACTGCCAGGTTGGAGTCAGAGTCCATTGATGCAATTAGTTTTTTCATAACTTTTATTGTGTAATTACACACGAATGACTTTAAAACTCACCGATCCAGTGGTTGTACAGGTCCTCCATCACAAATCCAGCATCATTGGGACCTGTAGTGTGCCGGATTACTGAGTTTGCCGAATTACAGAGTGGTTATGTTAGAATACACTTAATAAAATTAACCAACTTGACTTACACAGTTCATTGAACATCGGCAAAAAATTGAACATTTCCGCTACTTTGAGCTCAATTTCAAGGTACTTTTCGTTATGAAAGCAATCAAAATCATGTCTATTTCTGTAATATATCTTCCATTCTATCAAATGAGTCCAAAAAATGAGAATATAACCATGAAAACCATACGAAAATATACTGCAAAGAGGCGGTTAATGGCTGAAGAGTGAACTCCCTTATTTATCGTCCATCTTTTTTATTTTTGTTGTATGTTAAGAAGCATCTTTCCATCATACATTGCCCAACAAACAACCGAGAAAAAAAAATATTTACCGAAAATCATGTATGGCAAGCCCAAGCCAGGTACTGGAAATAAGTCACTTTGTCTGACTTTTCTGGGTTATCCCAGGTTCTCTATACATACACTGCTATGTATGATAATCTATGTAACTGTATTTGTGTATACCTGAATAAACTTATTTACTTCTAGTCTGTCAACTGAGTACAAGAAACCTCCCATTCACTTATTTCAACTACCCAATAAAGTGGTCAGAAATTGGCAATTTGGCCGATTTCACACAAATTTTCAACAGATGCCAATTTCAAAATAGGGTCCATAATAAACAATGCAGACATTCCTGGCACTAAAATAACATTTTCTCTGTTCATTAGTCATGGCTACAGGTCCCTCTTATATTACTCTTGCTTACCATTTGGGATTTTTATTCACAAAAAAAAAAAAATAGAAGATTTACTGTTATGCTGACTACTGCATTATTATAATAATTGTATAAATAATGTCAAGTTAAAAAAGCCTAGGGAAAATATGGATTTGTCAGTTAAAAACAGAGTAGGGGAGTTAGTAGATGGGGAGAGGGAGGTTTTGGGTAGATGGCGAGAATATTTTGAGGAACTTTTAAATGTTGAGGAAGAAAGGGAGGCGGTAATTTCATGTACTGGTCAGGGAGGTATACCATCTTTTAGGAGTGAAGAAGAGCAGAATGTAAGTGTGGGGGAGGTACGCGAGGCATTACATAGAATGAAAGGGGGTAAAGCAGCTGGAACTGATGGGATCATGACAGAAATGTTAAAAGCAGGGGGGGATATAGTGTTGGAGTGGTTGGTACTTTTGTTTAATAAATGTATGAAAGAGGGGAAGGTACCTAGGGATTGGAGGAGAGCATGTATAGTCCCTTTATATAAAGGGAAAGGGGACAAAAGAGATTGTAAAAATTATAGAGGAATAAGTTTATTGAGTATACCAGGAAAAGTGTACGGTAGGGTTACAATTGAAAGAATTAGAGGTAAGACAGAATGTAGGATTGTGGATGAGCAAGGAGGTTTCTGAGTGGGTAGGGGATGTGTAGATCAAGTGTTTACATTGAAGCATATATGTGAACAGTATTTAGATAAAGGTAGGGAAGTTTTTATTGCATTTATGGATTTAGAAAAGGAATATGATAGAGTGGATAGGGGAGCAATGTGGCAGATGTTGCAAGTATATGGAATAGGTGGTAAGTTACTAAATGCTGTAAAGAGTTTTTATGAGGATAGTGAGGCTCAGGTTAGGGTGTGTAGAAGAGAGGGAGACTACTTCCTGGTAAAAGTAGGTCTTAGACAGGGATGTGTAATGTCACCATGGTTGTTTAATATATTTATAGATGGGGTTGTAAAAGAAGTAAATGCTAGGCAGCTAGGGTGTTCGGGAGAGGGGTGGGATTAAATTATGCGGAATCAAATTCAAAATGGGAATTAACACAGTTACCTTTTGCTGATGATACTGTGCTTATGGGAGATTCTAAAGAAAAATTGCAAAGGTTAGTGGATGAGTTTGGGAATGTGTGTAAAGGTAGAAAGTTGAAAGTGAACATAGAAAAGAGTAAGGTGATGAGGGTATCAAATGATTTAGATAAAGAAAAATTGGATATCAAATTGGGGAGGAGGAGTATGGAAGAAGTGAATGTTTTCAGATACTTGGGAGTTGACGTGTCAGCTGATGGATTTATGAAGGATGAGGTTAATCATAGAATTGATGAGGGAAAAAAGGTGAGTGGTGCATTGAGGTATATGTGGAGTCAAAAAACGTTATCTATGGAGGCAAAGAAGGGAATGTATGAAAGTATAGTAGTACCAACACTCTTATATGGGTGTGAAGCTTGGGTTGTAAATGCAGCAGCGAGGAGACGGTTGGAGGCAGTGGAGATGTCCTGTCTAAGGGCAATGTGTGGTGTAAATATTATGCAGAAAATTCGGAGTGTGGAAATTAGGAAAAGGTGTGGAGTTAATAAAAGTATTAGTCAGAAGGCAGAAGAGGGGTTGTTGAGGTAGTTTGGTCACTTAGAGAGAATGGATCAAAGTAGAATGACATGGAAAGCATATAAATCTATAGGGGAAGGAAGGCGAGGTAGGGGTCGTCCTTGAAAGGGTTGGAGAGAGGGGGTAAAGGAGGTTTTGTGGGTAAGGGGCTTGGACTTCCAGCAAGCGTGCGTGAGCGTGTTAGATAGGAGTGAATGGAGATGAATGGTACTTGGGACCTGACGATCTGTTGGAGTGTGAGCAGGGTAATATTTAGTGAAGGGATTCAGGGAAACCGATTATTTTCATATAGTCGGACTTGAGTCCTGGAAATGGGAAGTACAATGCCTGCACTTTAAAGGAGGAGTTTGGGATATTGGCAGTTTGGAGAGATATATTGTGTATCTTTATACGTATATGCTTCTAAGCTGTTGTATTCTGAGCACCTCTGCAAAAACAGTGATTATGTGTGAGTGTGGTGAAAGTGTTGAATGATGATGAAAGCATTTTCT